AATGCCAAAAGCTGCCAGGTGCCCCAAAGTGGTGGTTTCTAAACAGAGGGCTGGCTGAGCACCAGCTGCCACAGCACAGAACTAGTTCAGCTGCAAACACCAGAGGGAAAACCAAGCTCTCAAGTGCCCCTGGCAGGTCTGGGCAGCTCCCTGAGTGCTGATAGTCAGGAGAGGACCAGGTACTTCCAGCACTCTGTCCTGGTTCAGCCTCCTAATGGTAAAGCCCAGGTGAAAGCAAGATGTATCTCCAGATAGTTGCCCTCTGCAGCACAGCAGGTGACATCTCAAAGCCAACCACTCTGCTTGGAGAAGGACAGAGCTGCCATGGCCCCCTCTTCCCACCTGTGTCCTCACTGCCATCCCACGTGTGGCTACCAAGCAGAATGGGCAGAGCTGGCAGGACAAACTCACCAGGCACATGACTCTGTTGATAGGAATCATTCCAGGTCTGATGTTGCCACCAGGCTTCAGAGCTTCCTGCACATCCTTGGGGATGAGGAAGGACTCCCTGTACCAGATCTCAAACTCTGCAAAGCAAAGAGGACAGTACAACAGTGATGATCAAAGAGACAAGGCTGCATTGTTTCTGGCTCCCTGCCTGTGGATCAGGCAGGACCTCACTGCTCTTAGGACTCTCCCAGGTGACCTCAGGACTCCAAGCTCCTGAGTTGCAAACTGGAAAGGTTAGTTCAGAAGGACAGGGCCCCATCAGCAGGCACTGGCCATGCTTGGGATCAGGAGCTGCCTGTCCTTGCTGCCTGCGGGGTGGCTGGGACACGGTGGCTGCCCTGGGGACAGTCCCCTGGGCATGGCCAGGAGGTGGCAGTGCCTGCACATCCCGGGAACACCGAGCCCTCCAGCGGGAACGAGCCACTTGGAGAGGGTCAGCACAGTGGGGGGTCAGATTTCCATTCCAAAGGCTCGGGAAACATGGGAGGGTGGCTTTCCATCCCATAATAAGCAGTGATAACACACAGCAGGTGCTTGTCGGCATCAATCACCAGCCTGTCCCAGCCCCTGCAGGGCTCTGCTCCTGCCTGGCCCTGCTCCTCAGGCACGTTCCCCACGGAGCAGGAGAGTCCCCGGCTGCTGGGGAGGGTTGTGAAACCCAGGGGGGACCTCGGGGATGGAGCTGCTCTCCAGCTCCATGATCCATGAGGGATAAACGAGGTGAAATGTCCTCGTAGGACACTGGGGACATGATACAACACCAAGGACTCTGCAGTGCCCCAGGAGGACACGAGGGAGTCCCTGCCTGCGTGGTGCAACCAGCAGCAACATCTGCAGCACCCAGAGATGCCCAATCTGGATCCAGCAGAGACCAGAGGTAAAGATTCTACACAGTCTGGCCATGGCTGTCCACTGGAGCCAGCACTGCAGTGTTCCCAGCCTGGGATGGCCCAGGGACACAACTTGTGTTCTCCAGAATCTGAAGAAAATGAAGTGTTGCCATGTGCAGAGAATCCCAGGGTTTGGGACTCTGGGAGTTACATCCCTGCTGCCTTCTAGGATCATGGGATGGTGTGGGTTGGAAGGCACCTTTCAAGGTCATCCAGTCCCACCCCTGCATGGGCAGGGACACTTCCCAGCAGCCCAGGCTGCTCCAAGCCCCATCCAACCTGCCCTTCAACACTGCCAGGGATGGGGCAGCCACAGCTTCCCTGGGCAACCTGGGCCAGGCTCTCCCCACCCTCACAGCCCAGAATTTCTCCCTCCCATCTCAGCTCCAGCTCCCTCTGCCAGCTGGAAACCCTTCCCCCTGCTCCCATCCCTCCCTGCCCTTGTCCCAAGCCCCTCCCCAGCTTTCCTGGAGCCCCTTCAGGCACTGGAAGCTGCTCTCAGGTCTCCCTGGAGCCTTCTCTTCTCCAGGCTGAACACCCCAACTCTCCCAGCCTGGCTCCAGAGCTGCTCCAGCCCTCCCAGCATCTCCGGGGCCTCCTCTGGACTCTCTCCAGCAGCTCCATCACACAGGACAAATCCAGGGATGCAGCAGGATGGTGCTCCTGTGACCACAGATTCAGACTGAGCAGCCTGCACCACGGATTTGTCCAGATGCCCCTGAACCAGCTGTGACTCATCCCCCCCAGGGTGATGCTGGTGAAGAACACACCCAAATAACCAAATCCTGCTTATTGCCAAGGAGCCTGGGCTGCAACACTGGAACCTGAGGGATGGTTCAGTGGTACGAAGGAGACCACTCAGGGCCAAAGCCCTGACCCAGTGCAGGTCCTTAACCACCACCTCCATTAAATGAAATGAAGGGTGAGAACCCCTGTCCTCACCCCAAGGACATGGAGGGGCTGGAGCGTGTCCAGAGAAGGGCAAGGGAGCTGGGGAAGGGGCTGGAGCACAAGTGTGAGCAGGAGCAGCTGAGGGAGCTGGGGGTGTCCAGCCTGGAGCAAAGGAGGCTGAGGGGAGACCTGCTGGCTCTGCAGCTGCCTGAGAGGAGGTTGGAGCCAGGGGGGTCGGGCTCTGCTCCCCAGGAACAAGGGATGGGACAAGAGGAACCGGCCTCAAGTTGTGCCAGGGGAGGTGGAGGTTGGATCTGGGGAACAATTCCTGCCTGGCAAGGGTTGTCAGGGCCTGGCCCAGGCTGCCCAGGGCAGGGGGGGAGTCCCCATCCCTGGAGGGGTTTCCAAGCCCTGGAGATGGTGCTGAGGGACATGGGGCAGGGGTGGCCTTGGCAGGGCTGGGGGGAGGGTTGGACTTGAGGATCTCAAAGCTCTTTTCCAACCAAAACAATCTCAGGGTTCTGTGATCCCAACCAGAGCCATCCCTGGGTGCATTGTTGTCAACTTCACCACGAAAGGCTTTTACCCACAGCACTGCACCTGCTGGTGAGACCAAGCAGCACCACATCATGATCTGAGAGAGTCAACCTGCAGGAATCCAGTGTTATGTCCAAAAAACCCAATCCCCCAAACCCTCAACCATCCATGAAAGCCTCACCTGGAAGGCAACAAGAAAAATGCCACCAGGGGATGACAGGGACATGTAAGCAACGTGCCTGAGGTGCTTCAGGCCCCAGCTGCTGTCAAGCACCCCAGCTCAACCAGAGGCTGCTCAGAGCCTGTCCTGGTGAGGAAGTACCTGAGATGAGTCTTTTCCTGCACTGATCCACCACCTCCTGCAAGTTCTGGATCTCTGCCTTCAGCTTCTGCAGCTCAGCACAGCCAGACCTGTACTCTTCCTTCAGGTCCTTCAGCTTTGTGGTGAGTACAAACCCCTCCTCATCAGAAATGATCTGGCCTTTCTCATCAACATGCTCTCCTGGAGGGCAAGAAAAGGAAACAAAGGTTTGTCATGAGGGTGGAGAGGGACAGCAAACAGTCATTATACCTCAAACCACATGGTAGTTACCCAGTTGTACTGAGGTTAACCACACAGCTGACATTTCCTTTGACACCCTTTCTACAAACACAAGGTTGGAGTGGGGCAGAAACCTCTGCTGAACTCTTGAACCTGCCCAGACATCAGTCCATCCCTGAGTGGGGACATGTGGAGATGAAGAGGAGGGACCAGGGTCCACAGAATGAGGGTATGTCCTAAGGCTTTGATGGCTTGTGCTGAAAAACTCCCTGGAAAACCATCATAAGGGTTTTGAGACAAAGGGGTGGTCGGTTCCTTGGGGACAGTGAAGCCATCACTTCCTTCTGATGAACATCTTTTCTTCTCTGTTTCCCTCAAATCAGTTTATTCCAGTGGTTTCCAGCATCCACAATAAACCACCAAGTTGGTGGGTGGCATCATAAAGAGCCAAAGGCTCAAAAGAAGCAACAGCTCCAGGAAAGCTGGGGAGGGGCTTGGGACAAGGGCAGGGAGGGATGGGAGCAGGGGGAAGGTTTCCAGCTGACAGAGGGAGCTGGAGATGAGATGGGAGGGAGAAATTCTGGGCTGTGAGGGTGGGGAGAGCCTGGCCCAGGTTGCCCAGGGAAGCTGTGGCTGCCCCATCCCTGGCAGTGTTGAAGGGCAGGTTGGATGGGGCCTGGAGCAGCCTGGGCTGCTGGGAGGTGTCCCTGCCCATGCAGGGGTGGGACTGGATGAAATTTAAGGTTCCTTCCCACCTAAACCAGTCTGTGATGATGCTTTGAGACCAGCAGCTCCTCTTCTGCCAGGCTCTCACTGCCCAGTCCCCCCCAGCCAATTACCATTTTGCAGCCGCTCCTGCTTATGAGCCTCCAGGGCCTCTTTGGTGCTCTCCATCTCCCTCTTGATGAAACTGATCTTCTGCACGACTTCACTGCTTGTCTTCTTCCTGGCCAGGAGGATGCTTTTGTTCTCTTTGAAGATCTGGTTCATCTCCCTTCCACACTCCTCCTTGAACAGCTCGAACGCCACCGGCTCGGGCGGGGGGGACCTGGGAGAGGAGTTGAAGAAAAGCCACAGACACAGGGAAGGTCACTTTGTTCTGCCCTCAGAGTGACCCAGAACGTGGCAGTGGCCACAGCTGGGGTTCATGGGTGGACATTCAATGGGTCCTTTGAGGATCAGCCTGTGCTGGCTTCACCCTGGCACCATCTCTGCACCAACCTTCACACCCACGTGCCCCCAGAACTCCAGAAGAAAGTCATTTACACAGAAACCAGATCCCCAGGAGATTATTCACATCATTGTGGTTGGAAAAGATCTTTAAGATCATGGTGTCCAACCCATGGACATGTGGCCAGAAGGGCTAAGACAGTGATTGTCCCCCTGTGCTGGGCACTGGGGAGGGGGCACCTGGAATGCTGGGCTCAGGTCTGGGCCCCTCAGGACAAGGAGGACATGGAGGGGCTGGAGCGTGTCCAGAGAAGGGCAAGGGAGCTGGGGAAGGGGCTGGAGCACAAGTGTGAGCAGGAGCAGCTGAGGGAGCTGGGGGTGTCCAGCCTGGAGCAAAGGAGGCTGAGGGGAGACCTGCTGGCTCTGCAGCTGCCTGAGAGGAGGTTGGAGCCAGGGGGGTCGGGCTCTGCTCCCCAGGAACAAGGGATGGGACAAGAGGAACCGGCCTCAAGTTGTGCCAGGGGAGGTGGAGGTTGGATCTGGGGAACAATTCCTGCCTGCCAAGGGTTGTCAGGGCCTGGCCCAGGCTGCCCAGGGCAGGGGGGGAGTCCCCATCCCTGGAGGGGTTTCCAAGCCCTGGAGATGGTGCTGAGGGACATGGGGCAGGGGTGGCCTGGGCAGGGCTGGGGGAGTGGTGGGATTCCATGATCTTAAAGGGCTTTCCCGACTAAACTGGTTCCCTGGCTCTTTGCCATGAGGTCTCTGCTCTGCACTTCTACCACCAACCAAAGAGTGCTGAATCTTCAGGGATGACACTTCACAGAGCAACTGATCAGGACAGAGCCCAAAGCAGATGGAGGAGGTGACCACCACCAACATGCCTGGGTACACAGGGTTTCCATACAACCACTGCTGTCCTGCCATGCGTTCCTGCACCCAAGCAGTGAAGATCTCTGACTCTGCAGCAGGTGGTTGTTCTCAGGGACCACAAGGCAATCACTCTGCTGTCAACCACCCTCTGGCAATGGGATGCACTCCCTCAGAGGGAAAGCTCACCTGGGCCTCTGGGGAAGCTCCACAGGAGCTGGAGTGGAGACCTCTGCCTCAGGATCTGCTGTGTCTTCGTTCCATGTTTCCTCTTCTTCTTCTTCATCCACATCTTTGGTGGAAGGTTCTAGCAGACTTCTTAATGGTAGCAGACCAGCCATCTCTCTCCCAAACACAGAGTTCCTGGGTCCTGTCCTCCTGATGGGGAAAAAGATGAGGCAGGGTAATTAATATGTTCCTCATGAGAACCTGGACCCAAGGCATGATGGGGGTGCTGGCCTTGCTCACCCACAGACCAGCAGTGGGACCTTGCAGTGAAGTGTCTGCTCACACGGAGTGAGATCATAGAGTCATAGAACCATTTAGGTTGGATCTTGAAGATCACAGAATCACAGAACCTTAGGGGTTGGAAGGGACCTGGAAAGCTCCCCCAGCCCACCCCCCCTGCCAGAGCAGGGGCACCCAGAGCACATCCCACAGGATCCAGGGGGGTTGGAATGTCTCCAGCCAAGGAGACTCCACAGCCTCTCTGGGCAGCCTGGCCCAGGGCTCTGGCACTTCACAGCAAAGAAGTTCTTCCTGAGATCCACATGGACCCCCCTGTGCTCCAGTTTGCACCCACTGCCCCTTGTCCTGTCCCTGGACATCACTGCACAAAGCCTGGCTCTGTCCTCCTGACACTGCCCTGAGCAGATTTGTGCCCATGGATGAGGTGGCCCCTCAGTCTCCTCTTCTCCAAGCCCAACAGCCCCAGCTCCCTCAGCCTTTCCTCAGCAGGGAGATGTTCCCCTCCCTCCAGCATCTCTGTGCCTCTGCCCTGGGCTCTTCCCAGCACTTCCCTGTCCTTCTGGAACTGAGGGGTTTCTAACCCACCCCAGGTGCCATTGGCCTTCTTGGCCACCAGGGCACATTGCAGGTCATGGTCCTCCTGCCCACCAGGACCCCCAGTTCCCTTTCCCCTGCCCCCCAGCAGCTCAGCCCCCAGCCTGTCCTGGTCCATGGGGCTGTTCTGCCCCAGCTGCAAAACTCTACTCTTGCCCTTGTTGAGTTTCATCAACCAAAGCCCTCAGACTGAGCAGCTTCACCAGGTGGCAGCTGAGAGGAGCCTTTGGCCTGTGACACATTCTTTGAAGACACAGAATTAGATTCTTTATCACTGTCAAATCCAAATGGATCTTCTGTTCCCTCCTCTTCAACTTGTTTTTTTTTAGGAACTTCAGAAACACCTGGTATTCAGAAATACTCCAGAAATACACTGTTCCTCTTCTCTCCTCATCTGGCCATGAAGGTGGTTTCTCCACCCTTTGCACTAAGGCTGGTCTGTTTGTTGGAAAATACTCCATCCCACTGGGAACTGCCATTTCCCTCTTTCCAGCTGTAGGTCTTTCCAAACCAGGATGTCATTTTGGCTCCTGTTTCATCTTCTCTCCATGTGGGTCGTGGCAGCAGGGACAGAGGGACAGTCCCTTCCCACCCAAACCAGCCTGGGATTCTACAGTTGAGATCCACCAGTCACACCCATTCCCCTGCCATCCTCCTGCTGGTTCTGCTGGTGCCCATAAGGCCACCACAAACCAGTGCTGTTCTGGAATGTCTTCCTTAAGGAAACACCAAACTTCCACACCCTCATTAATGGACCTTCATCTCTGCCTTCCCCCATGGGCTTGACCAGCACCAGTCCCTGCAGGGACACCTTGTCCCAGCTCCCAGGCTGCCAGACTCACCTGGACAGCTCACTGGGTCTCCTGGACCTCCTCCTCTCACTTTGTCTGGATGAAAAATCAGAAGGTGGACTTTCCAGATCCTCTTCATCCTCTTCCTCCAACACGTGACCCTCCATATCAACCACACCAGCCTGGAAATAGGGAGAAGTAAAATATGGACCTGGAGGCACTAGATCTGTAGGTGTCTGGATGATGAAAGGTACCCAGCCCTTCCCAGCAGCTCTTCCATCCTGTCATCTGGAAACCTCTGGTCACTGCCAAGTATTCCAAGGAAACACATGTACAGGAATGAAGTGAAAACTAAAATGGGGCCAAAAACACCCTCAGATTCATGTGCTGAATGTTTCACCCAGAATAACTTGGGTCTTGTGTCCCAGAAATAAAAGCATCCTTGGATGTCTTCATGTCATGAAGATATGGAAGAGATTTATGTCTCTTCATCCCCTTTTCATATTGCCTGAACTATCAAAAAGAGGGGCCATTCAGTGCTAAAATCTGCTTTAAATCTGTTTTCTGCTTCTTTACATAAAGCCTTGAACAGGCCTGTTAGAGACCACGTGCTTCCCTGGGACACAAACATGTGGCCTTTTCCCTCCTGCCTCTCTTCCCAAATAATTCCAAGAACCTTCAGCTGAGCCCCAGGACAAGGATGTGACTCTGCCCAGCAGATCATGAGTATTTAACCACTGCACTGACAAAAGCAAGGCAAGGGAAGAGCCACCTGAGAGAGGAAAATATTTCAGGGGTGGAAATAAGTGATGAAAAAGAGATGGTGAATGATAGAGGCCAGGTCTGAACGTGTGGTTTGCATCTGCCACAGTCACTTGGCTCCAGGAATGACAAGGGTTAGAAGAAGGATCTCAGCAGAGGCAGGTGATCTGATCCTGCCTTCTACAACAGGTCACCTTCTAGTTCCTATTTTCATTTCCATTCCACAAATGATGCTGTCCAGGATCACGAGCCCAACCCTCTGCTGCTACAACTGCCACTGGAACCAGTGACACCCTCATCCCTGGAACATTCCCGAGCTTCAGATATGAAACATTGGGAACTGGAGGCAATTCCAGGTTTGGCAGCACAGGAGCCAGTTCTGAGCTGGGTTGTGGGCTGGGCTGGAGCACCAGGATTACCTGCTGAAGAGCAGAAACAGCAACAAAGTCATTTCTGTCTATCAGAATGTACTGGCTCCGGAATCTGGTCTCCACGTCATCCTCCTGTTGGCTGGGGGAGAAAACAGCCCCTTACCCTGGTGCTGCAGGACCAGGTCACATCTCAAACCTTGTCCTTTCTGCCAGTTTCCCCTGTGATCTCCTGCCCCAAAACCCCCCCTTGCTCCTTCAATTAACACAGACTGGTTTGGGTTGGAAGGGACCTTAAAGATCCTCTTGTTCCAACCCCCCTGCATGGCAGGGACACCTCCCACCAGCCCAGGCTGCTCAAGTTTCTTCCCCAAAACCTTTGTAGCCTTTTCCCACTTTCCCTTTCTTTTTCTCTGATGTCCTTGTAGATGTGGAATGGTTTTGATGGTTATTTTAATGCTCAGCAGAACCTTTTAGTGGTCCAGATCAAATCATACCACCTCTGCTCAGCTCCATCACCTTATTTAATCTAGTGATTCTCCAGCTGAGTGATAGAAGATGATCCAGGGCTGGAGCAGCTCTGCTCTGGAGCCAGGCTGGGAGAGTTGGGGTGTTCAGCCTGGAGAAGAGAAGGCTCCAGGGAGACCTGAGAGCAGCTTCCAGTGCCTGAAGGGGCTCCAGGAAAGCT